CGGCTCCGAGTTCCTGTCTAGTGTCCTTCAGTTCAACTTGAAAGACTCTTACCAGGCATGTCAGGGTGACCACCTCCTTTGGCTCTTGTTTCACGTGTGCAGTGGTTTGAACATGTGTGTGTCTCTTGGAAATCCCTACTGAAACTTCAGCCCAAGTGCAGTAGTAGTAAGAGCTTTCGTGAATGCGATGCACTCCTTAGAGGAGGGCTTGAGGGAAGGAGTGCAGCCTTTCACCCCTCCCACCACATGAAGACACAGGAAGAAGGTACTATGTTGGGCCGGGGATTTAGCTCAGTGGTTTCGCCGTCTGCTGTGCAAGCGCAAGGACCCGAGTTCGATCCCTGGTACCAAAAAAAAGAGAAGGTACTGTGTTAGCAGAAGAAAGTGAGTCCTGTCCACACACTGAATCTCCTGGAGCCTTGATCTTGGACTGCCAGCTGCCACAACTGTGGGAAATCAGCTTCTGCTGTTTCTAAATCCCCCACGCTAAGGTATTTTGTTATGGCCTCCTGAAGGAACTGAGACATCTGGGAATACTTGGCATGTCTCCCTCCTCTCAGAAGGAGATTTTCACTGGCTGTGGGATTCTTGGCTGGCAGTCTTGGTCCTTTATTACTTTGAATACATCAACCCATGACCTGCTAGAATACAGGATTTCTGATGAGAAATCTGACGAAGACTTCATGGGGAAATTAGCATGAACGCCCTCTTCCTGTCAGCCCCTTAGATGTTGATAATGTGACCTATGGTGTCTCGGGGAGCAGGACATTTTATTATAGTGTCACAATGTCAGTCAAGTGCTACTACCCTTTTGACACCAATCATTCAGAGTTGGGAAACAAAATAGAATTGAATTACACCGAGTGTAGATATGATGAGGTCTTTAAAAGCCAAATGTTATTATCCATTTGCAGACTTGAAATGAAAAGGCCATTGAAACACACTGTGAGTTTTAATTTCCGAACAAGTAAATATCAGTCTCCATAACTCACTGAAGCAAAAAGCTTCTGGAGTCCTTTCTTTTTAAAGTGGAAAATGTCCTTGGGACAGTTAATGTTAATCGTCAACTTGATTGGCTTGGATATTAGTAAAGCACACTTCTGGATGTGTCTGAGTGGGTCAAGGAGACCTAACCTTGGGGTCCATCTGGTCTCTGCGCCATTCTTCTCTGGGACTGTTCCTCTGCTCTGCTTCCTGGCCACCACAAAAAAGCAGCCTTGATCTTCCAGACCCTTTGGCCATGTTTCTGCCTTGGAATCAGACAGACTCCTTCGAAACTGTGAAACCTCTCCTCTTGGAAATTGTGGGTGTCAGGTATTTGTTACAGAAACAGGAAAGCTTACCAATACAGAAAACTGGTACCAAAGAAGTAGGATTGTTGCTGTGACTATTCCTGACTGTGTGGTTCGGAAGTCTTTGGAACTGGTTTATAGGAGGAGTTTGGGAAGTTTGGAGATGCAGGCTGGAGAAACCTTAGGATGCTGTCAGCAGAGCATGATGGGTGATTTTGGTTGGAGATCAGAAGACCTGAATGTTCATAGAAATGTGTGGACAGTAAAAGGCAAGGCCAGCCTTCTGAGGCTTCAGTTGGGAATGAGGACTCTACTGGGAATTGTCCTAGAGATCACAACTGTCGCATTTTGGCAAATAGCGTGGCTACATTTTGTCTGTGTCCTAAGTCTTTGCCTTAGACTGAATATAAAGGTGGTGGGCCAGCTGATCTGGTCTAGGAGATTTCAAGACAGCCCAACATTCAGGCTATGGCATGGGTACTGCTGGCTCTTTTTAGCCAGATTTCTAGTGAGAAATCAGGAGCAAAGACCAGGGCAGAAATATTTGCAAAACTTAAATTTTGGCTTAAAAAGAACCACGTATAAAAATTGGAGCCAAAGGAGGTGTGGCTGCTGAAGACATTGGTACCATTAAAAAGAAAATGAGTATTTTAGTATATGTGCTGCCAAAGCGAGCACAGAAAACATGGATTTTGAACCAGGACAAGAAGATACCATGAGGACACTGCAAGAATCAGCAAGACCCCACTGGTGGCAAGCTCAAGGAAGCAAAAGTATAAACCTTTCATTTGAGACGAGAGCCTCTGGGCCCTCTGTTCTAGAAGGGCCACCTAGGAAATTCATTCCCCAGGATTCATTCCACTCTGCTCAGCCATCCAGCACTCAGAAACCACTGCCACCATGTTCCAGAGGGGCCTCGCTCTTGCTGAAGCTAGCAGCAGACCTTGGCATCACCCACATGATGCCGGTTTTTCAGGTGTGCAAAATGTAAGAGTCGCAGGGTCATGAGGCTTCCACCCAGATCTCAAAGGAAGACCTAGGAGACCAGCCAGTGTATGACAGAGTCATCAGTGTCCCTGCCAGAAACCTCTGAGAGGGTGATATGTGAGGCTATGGGAGTGAGTTAGAAGCTGTACTAGAGACCTCAGGAAGATGGAGATGGCTGGGATCGTGGAAGATCTGCTAAGGGAAGCCACAAGCAGTAAGAGGAACCCACCCCAGAGAGAGGGCATATGGCTGCAACTGGCAAAACCTTAGGGGTGGAGCTGCCCAATCCCTCTTCAACTCATATCTAACCACCATGTATCCTGATTGTGAACAGGGAGCTGTAGGACTTAATTTTTGCCCTGCTGGGATTCAGTCTTGTTTGAGTCCAATTCTTTTCTATCCCCCTATTCTTCTCTTTCAGAATGGGAATGTTTACCCAAAGCCATTGTATATTAGGAATATATAACCTGTTTTTATAATTCTACAGAGATTCAAGCTAAAGCTTTGTCTTGAGTGTCAGAGGAGGCTTTGAATTTGGACTTTTGAGCAATATTGGGAACATTGAGATTTGGGGGTAGAGATTTTTCAGTTTTTGGTTGTAGGCAGGATATCACATTAGGTGCAATTATGAAGTGGTTATTGTCTTTATTTGGAGATTAAGAATGGTTTAAGGGGATATGTTTGGACGTCAAGTTGACAGGAGTGGAATGTGAAAGATAAGCTTAACTGTCAACTGGATTGGTGTGGCAGCTGGCTAGGGGAAAGTACACTTCTGGGTATATCTGAATGGGTCATGTAGATATGACTTAGGGGTCTGAATCTGGCCCCTGGCTCTTCTTCTCTGGCACTGATTCCCTGCTCTGCTTTCCAGACATTATTAGCTAAACAGCTTTGTTCACCCATGCCCTTCCACCATGATATTTGCTTTGGAACCAGCCATTTATGGACTGGATCCTCGGAAACCATGAGCCAGATAAACCTCTCCTTCTGTAAGCTGTGGCTGTCAGGTCCCAGCAATGGGAAAGCTGGCCAACACAGTCTTGAGACCAAAAAGTAAATAAACCACCCTGGGTTGTACCCAGCCATGACCAGGCCATTTTGTGCTCTAACCATAAAAGAAGGCAGTGAGAGGAAATTTCAGACATGAGTTTCATAAGGCCTTGGCTGTGGTGGGTTTTTTGTTGGTGTTGTTAATTCATAGAGCTCTTGGTTGATGACCCATTGGAATCACACATAGCTAGCTTGTCTAGTGATTTTGGTTTATTGACTTTGGTTTTGGGAGGTTTGGTTTTTGATGTTTGCTCATTTTTTCATTTTGTACTCTTTCCCTTTTTTGGCCATTTTTAAGTATATTTCTTTTTCTTTTCCTTTTTAACTTAGTTAGCACCATTAATTAGCATTGCTATTTTATGATACCCAGTTTGAACAGTAAGCAAGCGGGTGACAACACAGCAGGGCCTCATGGCTACCTCCTGCCACACAGAGATCCTCATGGATCATCGTGGAGCTCCAAGGACCATCCACCAGGACACCTGGGTCCGGGTGAAACTGGCCAAGGCCACCCTCACCAGGGCAGAGGTATCTGTGGAAGGCCTGCAGATGGGACAGAAGACTTGTCCATTATATCAGAGGTGGTTTAATGAAGGCTTTGCATCACCCAGTGTGCTCAGCACATCTCAGCACAAAGTTGTGACATACACAGGTGGGGGACAGTGGCTGCACCACACCCTGGACTCCAGCTGCTGCCACATCAGGAGGAAGCCTGGAATACACTGATGGCATGTGCATTATGCCAGCGCTAGAAAAACGATGTCACACCTAGGGACCTGCAGCCGGAGGACATCCTAGTGGATGCCAAAGGAAGTGTCAAAATCAGGGGATGTGGGACTGGGCAGCAGGTTCACAGCTGGGCAGAAACTGACCATGTTATACAGCACCCTCCCATGCCAAGCCTTGGAGATGTTCAAGGGTGACCACACGATTGTCCCCCAGCAGATGTCTGGGGCCTGGGTGTCTTCCTGTGTGCCCTGGTCAGTGATCCTTCTTATTCTCACAGTCACATTTTTAGAGCTGCAGCAGATGTTCCTGCAAACAACTGCCCATTTCCCACCTTACTTTTCCCCAGAATTGCAAAGCCTGATCCGCCAGCTCCTAACCCTCAGCCCCAAACAGAAGCCCATGCTGGAGAACATTGAGGAACCCCTGTGGCTCAGCTAGAGTGAGAAATAGCCACCCAGTCCTTGTAGAGAGGTGCTCTGGGACCACCAGAAGCCCGTAATCCTGACAATGGTCATGTCTTCCATGGGCTGTGACCCGTGTGAGATGCAGAAATCTTTGATAAAGAGGAAATTCAAGAGGTGATGGCCACATAGTTCGTGCTCAAGTGCCAGACACTCTAAGGGGCAGGATGCACCTTCCATGTTCAGCCTGTGAATCCAGGGATTATGCCTTGGCCATTCACAGCAGGCCCTACCACCTTGGCTATTCCCCCAAAGAGGAGGGTCAGTGAGCCCACCCTTCATGTCACCTTGCCCAGGTAGGACAAGCAGTCAGGGCAGAATGACAGCAGAAGACCCTCTGTGCCTTCCACTCCCCTCTGAAGTCTGCAGATGAGGACCTGCACTCCTTGCAGAGCCCCCCATTATGGCCCCGTGCCCCCCTGTGTCACTCCTGTGTGAGCAGTGGGCCCTCTTCATCAGGAAAAACCCCTCTTCTGTGCAGTGCCATGGGTGACCAAACTGGGTCTGTACCTGTGACGGAGGCAGAGCTGGCAAGGGGTGCTCAAATTACCACCTCTCTTTGACAGGTACGTTGCTGCCCACCGACTGTAAAGACACCGCCTAAACTCAGAAATAAAGTAGTTCCAATGAAAGTGGGGGACAGCAGACACAGACAGAGTAAAACAGGTGGGGTGGTCCAGCCACACATCTTGCATTTTATTTCATATTGTCTGTGCGTTTGCTAATGTCATTTGTAGTGGACAAATCACAATGGTCAGGTGGGGAGGGGGAAGAGAGAGGGGAGAGGGACTGCCTGGTCAAAGGGCACAAGGTTTCAGGTGGACAGGAGGAGGCATCTTGGAAAGCTATTGTGCAGCAGGGTGACCACAGTCATAAGTAAGGTCTTGTCTGTCCCAAGTCACTAAGAGAGTCCATTTCAATGTCTTTCTGCATTTTAAGTGGAAAATCAGAGGGCCCTGACATCATGGTGAAGGATTCGGCCAGCTGTGGACTCAGACAGCTGAAGGAGGATGGAAACAGACAGGAAGTCCAGGCTGTGCTGTGCCCAGCCCAGAGGCCTCCGGCTTCCCTACACAGGATTCCAGTCCCAGGGACACCGGGAGCCACGGGAGTCCAGAAGACCTCTGGGTGCTTCCCCCTGCCCTGCATTTCTCTGTCCTCTCTCCCATGCCTCTGGATAATGGAAATGGTTCTTAATAAATTCCCACTTCTCACAAGCTTTACAGTAAAGATGATCCTCCTGGGAGATGATCCTGGGACAGGCTCGGGGCTGGCTGCAGGGCAGAGGGGCCAGGCCTGCATGTGACACTGACCCTCCCTGGTTTCCATGGTCACTGTCCCTGAGGTGCTGTCTTCATCCTGCCTGGAAGTCTCCAGTAGCATAAGGAAGCACAAGGAAGACAGGGAAGTGGCATGGGTGTGGTCCCCAGAGTCACTTGGGCATCTCTTGACTACACAGCTGAGTTTCCTGGTGGTCTCATGCAAAGAGTTGAGTCTTTCAAAAATGGTGACGTTTTCTGCTTTTTAAAGCAATTAGGGAAGCAGCCTGACACAGGTATGAACCCCTCAGGCAGCTTGAGTTTTCAGGGGGTGCTGAGCAGTGAGCCAGATGTTCTGGGGATCAGAGGAGGACGGATGACAGGAGAGCAGCCTACGGAGATGGAGAAGGTGGCAGAACGGGGGTCTTCCCCAAGGCAGGTCCCAGGTCTGGATGCCATGTTCCCATTTTAGGCAGGGACTTGGGGGCACAAGAAGCCCATCAGGGTGCTTCCTTGGGGTTCCCATGGAGCCTGGGGATGTCCAGGAAGTACCCCCCTCGGTGGCCAGCCACCCCGCGCAGTCTTTACTATGAAGTGACTCTGCCTGCTGGTCATCACGGCCAGGGTGGTCTTGGAGTCTGACCGGTCCTCTAGGTTGTCCTTCACCTGAGAGCAGCACCAAGGGAAGCTGGAAAGAGCTGAGATGGGGAGGGAGGCTTGTTGTCCCCTTCTACTCCAGTGCTGATGTTCTTTCCACTCAGCAGCCCGCATGTGCCTCCAGTTTTGCCTGCTCAGGCGCCATCCCTGGCTCTGTCCACTTCAGGGCAGGTCCCAGGCTCCCAGGGGTCATTTGGAACACTCTGTGCCTGTCCCCCTGGGGACCTTGTCTCCCCCACCAAGCCTGTCCTTCCTTCTCCACACACTGAAGTGTCCCATTTGTCACATGTCCTGTTCCACCTCCATGCCACTCTGGGTAGCCCACGTGCCAGGCACCCAGCCAGGCATCACTGTGCTCCTGAGAAGCCCTGACCATGTCCCTCTGTGCCGTCCTCATGGTCTAGCTGGCACGGGAATGACCACTACCTACAGAACAGCCAGGCCCAGCACTGCCTTGTCACCTGCTGCAGCTTCAGAGGGGGAGGCTCCAGTGGGCCTGGGTCTGATACAGAGCACAGGAAGTGAGGAGGGGTTACAGGAGGGACAGGAGCACCTGGGACAGAGGTGAGGACCAACCCCATTTCCAGCACAGTCCCCACGGTGTGCTTCGTTTGGGTCTCCAATCTCCAGCATGCCCCGTTGGGCTTCCATGACTCGTCCTCCCTTCTCTTTGGGAGCTTCGGGCCCTGGTGGGCTGGGCCAGGGGTCACCTCTTCTGTCCTCAGTATTCCCAGCTCAGATGCCCCGAAGGGCCTTGGGCTTTGATCTCAAGCAGAGTCTGCAGGATCCACATTCACTCCCAGGATACCTCTTGCTGAGGGGGCACAGCGGGTTCTGGGTGAGAGAGTGAATGCTGCTAGCCCCAGCCCGGGGAGAAGCCCAGAGTCACCCCTGAGAGAGGGGACCTAGAGCAGACAGGGGACCAAGGAGGAGAGGGGACCTTTAGAAATGATAGTTATTGTGCAAGAAACCAGATTTGCTTTACTGTTCTCTGGTGGATAGGGCATTTGAGTTGCTTGCAGTTTGGGGCCATTTTTTTTTTTTTTTTTGGTACTGGGGATTGAACTCAGGACTTTGCGCTTTTGAGGCAGGTGCCAGAACCACTGAGCTAAATCCCCGGCCCTGGGGCCATTTTAAATAAAGTTGCAGAGAGCACTGGGAGCATATATCTTCATCAGTACCTCCAATGGTTTATTTTTCTTTCTTTTTTTTTTTTTTGTCCCAGGGATGGAACTCGGAACTTTGCACCTGTGAGGCAGGCGAGGGAACCACTGAGCTAAATCCCCAGTCCAAGTGGTTTCTTTTGTAATATCTCATAAGTGAGATTCCTGGGCAAATGCTATAAACATTTGACAGATTTCTTAATATCTCTTGGAGAATGACGCTCCAAGAAAGTGATACAGTGAGTAGGGGGAGGAGTTCTGGTTTCACCACATCCTGGCCACTGGGCTGACATGCTTGGAGCAAATTCTAGGTGCTTGCATATATAGCAAGGACTATTTAATACCCAGATCACACATGGGGCTGGAGAAAATAGAGGTGGAGAACTTTTTAAGTGGCTTCAGTGTGGTTTCACAGTGTCCTCCCAGGCATGGGTACTTCCGGAATAGAGGCCGTTGCCCAAGTGGACTCTCCTGGTGTTGGGCCTCCTGCCAACCCCTCCGGTGCCCGTTCTGAACTTGCTCTTGTTTCTCTAAGTCCCTGAACTGTCACTGTCTCCTGCCAGGGAGCATCAAAGCTGAGGTGGATTTCACCAGCCATTTGGCAGCCAGTCTAATGAATGGCACCATCTGGCCTGTGATTTTCAGCTGGTCCATAAGTGATGAATTATTCAATCCAATTTGTGTGATGGACAAACTCTCAGCCAACTCTTAGCCAACATGGGCAGGGAGTAGTCAAAAGTAGGAGGGAACTTTATGGGAGGGTCATGGGGACATCCTATGCCCCCCAGTAGCATGATATTTATCTCTTAGAGTGGTGTGTCAGTGAGCTGTCCACCACTAAGACAAAATACTTGGGATAGATGACTTAGAAGGAGGGAAGGTTTTCCTTGGCTCATGGTTTCCAAGGGTTGGTTCATAGTTTCAGAGGCTTCAATCTACGGTCACTTGGCCTTGGTGCTTTGGAACAATGGTGGCACAGTGCACTATGTGCAGAAGCACATAGTGGACCAAGCTGCTCACCATACGGAAGCCAGGAAGCAAAGAGAGACACAGGACAGGACAGGTCCCAATGTAACCTTCAGTGTGCACTGCAGTGACCTTACTTTCTCCCTCTGGACCCCACCCCTGGGAGGTTCTACCATCTCTCAGTAAGGCCACAGGCTGGGGACCAGGCCTTTGACCACTTCTGGGCAGGTGGCTGTCCGGGTATGCAGACTGCCCTTTCTTCCCTGAGCTAGGTTCTGTTGTGACTGTGCATTCTCTCTGGTGCAGGAACACTTTCTCTGTGTGCCACTTCTGGGGTCTTTCCTCCTAGGAGAAGCAGACCCTCCAGCTTCCAGACTCCTGTTCACTGTGCATGTGTAAGGCTCTCTGTTTCAGCAGCTGAAGCCCATCCTGACTCACCAGCAGGCTTGTAGTGAGTTTTCTGTGTTGTTCCCTTGGAACAGGCTGCTTGAAGGACTCAGCTCTCTGATATTTTCAGCTTTTGCTTGCCTTGGGTGGAGTCCAACTGGAGCCCTCTCTCCCATCCACGGGCTTCCCTGGCTATCTCCTGTGTGAAGGTCAGTGCCCCTGCCTCCGGGCACCGCCTGTTCCTCCTCCCTCCTGGGTGCCTCTAGTCTCTCCCAAGACACAGCTTTCTTTGAAAAGTGCTGTGCTACCTTTTCCCTGCTAATACCTGCAGGCTCTAATTAAATAACTCAGGGGACAGCTGTCGCATAACTCAATTATTGGTAGAAAGATAAGTTTGGAACTGCCAAGTTCCCTATTAAGTCGACAAGTTTAATGTTTCTTCAGCAAAAACCACCACATCCATCTGCAGGAGGATGGAGGCAGAGAGGACATGGCCAGGTCTGGTGGGAGCTCCCATCTTGGGGAGACCAATGCTTAGGACCTCCTGGGTGTCTGGCCTCGTTATAGTAGGGACCTAAGGGTCCCCAAAAGCTCCTGTGTGCAGAGGTGGGGCTTTTGGAGGTGATGAGATCATAGGGCATTAACTGCCTACCTGGATGAATCCATGGATCACAGCTGTATTATTAGGAGGTGGGGACCAGTTGGAGTGGCCTGTGGACGTGTGATCTCGTGGACTACACCATGTCCCCAGGACTTTCCTCTCTGGCTTTCTCCCACTCTCTCTCTGCTTTCTGGACACCATCAGTTGAGCAGCTGTCCCCTGCCATGCCCTTCTACCATGATGTTTCTGCCTCACCACAGCCTAAACTGATGGAACTGGTTGACCATGGACTGAAACCTCTGAAGCCATGAGCCCAGTGTACCTTTCCTCCTCTAAAGTTGTTTTTATCAAACCTTTCCTTCCATCACAGAAAAACTGACAACATAGGCCTCACCTGTGTAATGTCTCATGTGCCCTCTGCCCTGTGGAACCTGTGGTTTTATAGGGCAAGGAGGCTACTGTGACTGAAAATGTGGAGCTTGCTGAGGATCTTGAGAAAAGGACCGGAGTTCCTTCACTTCTCTTGTTCTCTCTTAAGTGCCTTAGAGCATTGTGTCATGCAGGGTGGTGTCAGAAAACTTGAGAGGTAATAAGGCCAGCAGGTCAGGGGGTGGTGGCCAGGGAGAGACAGTTCATGACTCGGTGCCAAGAGGAAGAGGAAGAGCCACCACACAGGGCCACACGGAGCTCCAGGTCAGCAGGAGGCAGAAGGGAAGGGAGCCACTATGTGGCTTTCAGCAAAACACTCCCTCTCTGGGCTTCTGCTTTCTCATTATCAAAATAGGGGAGCAGGCAGGAAAATGAGCTCCCAGAGCTCTCTCAGGTGTGACAGCCGTCCTTGGTCTGCGCACATCTCTGGCTGAGTCTAGCATTCAGCACCACGGACAGCTGCCTGGAGCCTCCCAGCGGGAATGGACCAGAGCTGCCCATTGTCCCCAGCACTGAGTCTTGGTCCTTACCGCCTTCGTGGCTGTGGAGGGCACTCAGGAAGATCTGGGCTGTGTGTGTACTTCCCTGGGCTCCACAGCTACAGAACATCTCCATGGGCTGAATGTGAATCCCAAACCCTCTGTGCTTCCCAGCTGAAATGGGCATCAGGTCCTGGGGAGAACAGAGACCCTGATGTGTGGGTGGGGTGTCGGGTCCCACTGAGGTCATGCGGCTGG